GACCACCGTCTACACAGGGGCTCCTGCCTCTTTATCAGAGGCAGCATCACAGGGCAACAGTACAGGGCCACAAGGGGTGGTGGATTTTAAACTGGCTCCCCTCGCAGACCAGCTCCCACCTGGCATCTCATGCTGCTGTCTCCAGGGACTATAGAATAGTCGACTAACCAATAAGAATTCATGAGGTTACTCAACTATTCAATTAACCGATATTTCACATCCCTAGTTGGGGGCAGGTGGGGTGGGAGCGGTGTGAGCTCCCCCCGCCCGCAGGGGTCGGAGCCCTCCTCCCTTCCCAGTGCTCAGACGTGGGTGAGCGGGAGCCATGCAGCCTCCCCTGTTCCCAGTGCTCAGGGAGGAGAGCCCCATAGTCTCTCCCCTCCTCTGTGCTCCGGGGTGAGGGGTGGGAGCTGTGCGGTCTCCCCGCTCCCTGGTGCTCTGGGAAGGTGGGTTGGTTTCAACCTTTATCAACAGAACATTTGATCTGAGCTTAGACGTAACAGAAATGTGACAAGTGTAGTATAATTCTCTACAAAACAGCATTTATAAAAAGTAAGTGAAAAGTCCAATCTGCCAATGTAACAATTCATGAAACTTTTTTCATGATGGGTCCTAAAGAAGACATAGATACAAATTTTTAATTAGAAAGATGGATTTATCACCAGTTTTATCTAAGAATACAAGAAAATGTATATGGGAAACCGTAGAAGGGGAAAAATTAGATCTATAAGAATCTTACTACAAAAAATAACACATAAATTACCTGATTGTAGTGGTAGATGTATCTTTACCGACTAAAAAATCATGTTTTCCTTCTTTGATTTGCTGAGCCCAGATGGGATGAAACCATATCACTTGAGAAAAATGGCCAGCATAAACAACAGGCATAATCCAGTTCTCGATACTCAGCTCGCTGTAAATGAAAGAAGAAGAAATATGAAATTATATTATTAGTTTTCTCCATGTGGACAACATAACAACACAAAAAAGATTATTTTCATATACTGGGAATTTCATAGAAGTGTGTGATTTCCAGCAAGCATCAGTATTTTATATGCTTGTGGTTTATGCTAAAAAACAAAAATTTGACTATTATTTGATTATCCGGATTTTACATCATCAGGATAATCTTTAATCATAAATACTAAAAATCTTAGAAATTGTTATTTAAAATGTCTGTAACAATATTACAAAGTTGGGAGTTTGGCTTTGCAATATCTTTATAGTGCAGAAATGTTATCAATAGTCTTTCTCATAAATAAACTTGATTATAAACTTGCCATATTTATTGCTTCCTGTATGTGTCAAACATAAGAAGAATGAAATTAGTGTTTTCATCACCAATCAAAACTAGAAATAAGAGTCTGCTGACATCAATTTAACCCACCTTAGACATTACTTCATTGTTTTCTTGAATGTAAAAACAGACCAATTAACCCTTACAAAATAGTATTTGAATCACTATTAATACCTCAGTTCCTCAGTGGAATGACTCACACCACCAAACTGTCTGTTGCCTTACAAACCAATCCACAGAGTAGATATTGGATAATACAGCCATCATGATACCATTCTAGTCACTCACCAGTGTATTTGAAATTCTCAAGCTCCTCCATACCCTTTCCAATTACAAGAATGAAGGAAAAACATAAGAATGAAGCACAAAGATAACACAGTGCGTACACATATATCCACTATTGCATTGATCTTTCCTATATCTAAGCAGCTGTGGTGAAATCCTGGCCCCATGGAACACACTGGCAACATGCCCCTTTGATTTAATATGGTCAGAATTTCAACACTGAAGTTAAAACACTATTGCAGCCTTACTTAGGAAAAAAGGCTGATAGATTTTACAGAATTGAGAGGGGAAGGCATTTCATTACATTTATGTTTCAGATTAAATGACCGTTCGAGGCACTGACACATTAAAATGCTATTCAGAGAAACACTACAGTCTAACTGTTAAACAAGTGTATATTGCTGAACCATTAAAAAATGCAACAAAATCACAAGAACATTTTCATGCAAAATATGGAGAGTAACAACCATATTTGACCATAATCTTGAACCACAGAACATCCTTTGAACATGAACAAACCAGCTCTGATCATGAGTGAAAAACCCAAAAATACCCTCGGGGCCAGCTTCTGCTCATCTTGCTCACGCTTACTCTGAAGACAGCTCTACTGATTTTCAGTGTAAATGAGTGGCAAGAGTTGGTCCTTCGAGATTCTTGATGAGGGACATATGACATTACCTAAACAGAGCTTCTTTGTCAAAGACAGTATCTGCTGGCATGTTCACTGGAATAAGAAGGTCTGGATGGGAATCGAAGTGAACAAAGCTGATATTGCTGGCAGGGAGATGCTTTGAACCAATGGCACGATAGATAAAAGGCAGAACCTAAAAACAATATGAACAAAACGCATTAGCTGTTACCAGAGGGTTAAGAAATGCAATGTTGTTAATAGTAAAAATACTGGCAAAATATCATGTCTTGTTTTCTCAGGCCTCATAATTACAAGCAGAAGACAATGGAGCAGTAGTGCACAACTTTGCTGGTAACATGGATTAAGATAGAAACTTTCCCCAAACCCAGGGCTACATGTACAGTGGTTTGCATGTCATTTTTCATTTTTTTAACCTCCCTTTCATTCTGTCAGGACAGTCTTGTTTGCAGCAATGCTTTTCACTAATGCTTTGATATTACTCCTTTGATATTATTTCTTTTTTTCAAATTCATCTCCCTAAAAATGCTCCCTATGTTCTGTGCGAATCAAGCCCCATCCTGCTGGCCTCTCCAACTTCCTGGCTTCCACACACTGAAGTTCCTCCTTCTATACGTTTAGGATGGATCAGACTTTGATCTGTAAAAGTAGGTAAACACTGATTGCACTCTACAGGCACAAACTCATGAAAAATATTGTCATCTGTAATAAGTGAAATTTACTAATAGGCAAGAGAAAAAAATGCTGCTTGAAAACTTTAAGTTTGATTTAAGTTATTTACTTTGTATATTTTGATATTTGAGGTTGACTATTTGTCAACAATCATACATCTTTGACTTTTTGCATCTCAAGCATCATTAAATGATTATTGGCTGTGTAGCCCTGGAATTTTGTAACTAAGAAGTCAGTTAGTTATAATGAATGTATGTTATAGCAAAAGGTTTGGATTAAACTTAAACACAAGATGTGGGCCTCAGACAGGCCAGGCAGCTTGGTTAACTTAGCTCCAGCTCTGTTTGATGTTAGCATGTTCTGATGTTAAAGCAAAGGGATGGAACACTGTAATACGTAGTGATGTTAATATTAGGCAAGGCCTTGTAGTAGATAGAAAGAAGTTTAACATCAACAGACTATGTAACTTGGTTAAAGTGACTAGAAGTCACTTTGTTCCATGCTGCAATTCTCTAAATGTATTGTTTGGGTTAACGAGAGAGGAGAATGTTTTAGGAGAGATAAGTGTGAAGGCCACTGCATGCTCAAATGGACAGACGAGGGGCTGGAGACTCAGAAGCACCAAATAATTATCATCTAAGCGAAAGCACACAGACAACCCCCGTGGTGGGTAAAGAACAGGTTAGGAACTATTTAGAAAAGCTAAACGTACATAAATCCATGGGTCCAGACTTAGTACATCCAAGGGTACTGAGGGAGTTGGCAAATGTCATTGTGGAGCCTTTGGCTATTATCTTTGAAAAGTCGTGGAGATCGGGAGAAATCCCGGATGACTGGAAAAAGGCAAATGTAGTGCCCATCTTCAAAAAAGGGAAGAAGGATGATCCAGGGAACTATAGGCCGG